AGTAGCAGTAGCAGTAGTAGTAGTAGTAGTAGTAGTAGTAGTAGTGTAGTAGCAGTAGTAGCAGTAGTAGCTAGTATTTAGCAGTAGTAGTATTTAGTAGTAGTAGTAGTGTAGTAGCAGAGTAGCAGTAGTAGTAGTGTGCAGTAGTAGTAGTAGTATTAGTAGTAGTAGTAGTAGTGGGTGTAGTAGCAGTAGTAGCAGCAGCAGTAGTAGTGTAGTAGTAGTAGTAGTAGTAAGTAGTAGTGTAGTGTAGTAGTAGTAGTAGTATTTGTAGTGTAGTAGTTAGTAGTAGTAGCAGTAATTGTAAAAATAAAACAGTAGTTGTAGACATAATACTAGTGATAAAAATAGTAGTAATATTAGCAGCTTATTTAATTGGAAAGCCCTAAACCCGTTTTTGTCATACAGCGCCAATAGAGTGACAAATAAAATAGGTTTTGATCCCAAGGGGAGGATAGCTCCAATTCCTGAAATCAAGAGCCCTTTGCTAATATCAAGGGAATCCTCCCCACAAAAACCTTTAGAAGGGTTGAACCCGCTCAGAGTCGTAAATAAAGAGCTTGTGGGGTTTCCCCAATGTTGATTTCTTAGCATTTTCAGAGTATTAACCTTATTTTCCTCGTTATTTCTGCGTTGCTTCTCACAATATGGTTTAGTTATTCGAGGTGTATTTATTTAACTGGGGGAAACTGTTGTAAAAGGTTTTCTTTCTTCATTTATAGATTTAATTTGGATTCTAGTCTCTACCCATTATGGCGACTAATTTTTTTTTATTGACTACCACAGCATAGGTGATAGCCACTACCTGTGGTGTGTGGTAGGGACCTCTTACTTATACTTGTGTGTGTGGTAGGCACCCCTTACTTATCCTGTGTGTTTTGGTAGGCACCCCTTACTTATCCTGTGTGTGGTAGGCACCCCTTACTTATCCTGTGTGTTTTGGTAGGCACCCCTTACTTATCCTGTGTGTGTGGAAGGGACCCCCTTACCCATCCTGTGTGTGGGTGGCACCCCTTACCCATCCTGTGTGTGGTAGGCAAACCCCCTTTCCCATCCGTGTGTGGTAGGCACCCTTAAAAAATCCTGTGTGTGTGGTAGGCCCCCTTAATAATCCTGTGTGTGTTGGTAGGCACCCCTTACCCATCCCGTGTGTGTGGTAGGCCCCCCTTACCATCCTGTGTGTGTGGTAGGCACCCCTTACCCATCCTGTGTGTGTGGTAGGCACCCCTTACCCATCCTGTGTGTGTGGTAGGCACCCCTTACCCATCCTGTGTGTGGTAGGCACCCCTTACCCATCCTGTGTGTGGTAGGCACCTCTTACCCATCCTGTGTGTGGTAGGCACCCCTTACTTATCCTGTGTGTGTGGTAGGCACCCCTTAATAATCCTGTGTGTGTGGTAGGCACCCCTTACCCATCCTGTGTGTGTGGTAGGCACCCCTTAATAATCCTGTGTGTGTGGTAGGCACCCCTTACCCATCCTGTGTGTGTGGTAGGCACCCCTTACCCATCCTGTGTGTGTGGTAGGCACCCCTTACCCATCCTGTGTGTGTGGCAGTGACCACAAACCCATTATGTGTGTGGGATTCACTACATACCTATCCTGTGTGTGTGTGTACTCTCCTAATTCTACTCACGTAATTGTGGTTGCAGGGGCCGAGACTCAGCTCCTGGCCCCGCCTCTTCACTGATCGCTACTAGGTCCTCTTTCTGCTCCCTGAGCTTTGTCATACCTCGTCTTAAAGCTATGTATGGTTCCTGCCTCCACTACATCACTTGCTAGACTTTCACTTCCTGACAACTCTATGACTGAAGTGTGTGTGTGTGTGTACTCACCTAATTGTGGTTGCATGGGTCGAGACTCAGCTCCTGGCCCCACCACACAGGAATAAGACAGGAAAACCATCCTGTGTTAAGGGTGTGTTCAGTAACAACAGCTCTTTACATAACCATGTAAAGTATATTATAGATGGGCGTAGTCTCACTATGTACTTATTACACCTAAAATTGTCAATCAAATATATTGTTATTACTATAACAAGAGTCATATTTGTGTTCATGTTATCACTACTGCTACTATTGTCACCATTTCTAATGTACAATAGTAATTAGAATGACCAGTTGCCTGGTGGCAATAGTTCTAGCTTCACACGGTGAGTCCATCTATTATGCTACAATGATGATGATGATGATGATGGTGATGATGATGATGATGATGATGGTGATGATGATGATGATGATGATGATGATGATGATGATGATGATGATGATGATGGTGATGGTGATGAGGACTAACAAACTTACACTAAACATTGACAAAACCTACTTCATTCAGTTTGGTAACAGAGCTACAGATGTCCCTCTTAACATAATGATAAACGGATCACCTATCACAAAGCTAACAGAGGGAAAATTCTTAGGAATCCACCTTGATAATAGACTCAAATTTCATACACATATACAAAAAATTTCTAAGAAAAATTTCCAAGACTGTAGGCATTTCTATCGAAGATTTCGGTACTATGCTCCACAGTCAGCCCTCCTGGCCCTATATATCCTCTCTTTATTTACCCCTATCTCACCTATGGAATTTGTGCATGGGGCTCAACAACAAGTAACCATCTCAGACAATAATTACCCAACAAAAGGCTGCAGTTAGAATGATAACAAATTCTCACTATAGGCAGCACACTCCACCAATATTCAATACACTAAACCTATTCACCATACAAAAACATTCATACTTATTACTGCACCTATTACATACATAGAACACTTAACTCTGATATTAACCCTCCCTCAAACATCTCCTTGCCAACCTCAACAGAACACATGACCTTAACACAAGGCACAGATCACTCTTTGATGTTCCTCGTGTCCATCTCACACTATGCAAAAACTCAATGCACATAAAAGGCCCTAAAATCTGGAACTCACTACCTGTAAATATAAAAGAAACACTACCTGTTTATAAATTCAAGTCTCTTCTCAAAGATCACTTACTCACCCAAAACCAAATAAATACTGAAAAACTGAACCTTATAAATTGTATATCTTAAATGTTTCTCACAATTATATCACATAAATGTTAAACTAAAACCCAATCTAACTTTATTATTTTTTAAATACACTACCTAACAGAATACTCCATTCTACTGAATGTACAACAATGCATACAACCATATGACCTGTCTTTGTAATACTCACTTGTGCTTTATAGTAATCTGTTTACATTAAAGTTTTATCACCGATGTCATCATTGCTTAGTTCATCTTAAGTTAATTTTAAGCCAGCCCGTAATGCTATGCATAGTATAAGTGGCTTTGGCATACTGCTCTTTTCTGTATTTTTTGTACCTCTGTATGTGTGCACAAATTTTTAAATAAATAAATAAATAAATAAATAAATGGTGATGATGATGATGATGATGGTGATGATGATGATGATGATGGTGATGGTGATGATGATGATGATGATGATGATGATGATGATGATGATGATGATGATGGTGATGGTGATGGTGATGATGATGATGATGATGATGATGATGATGATGATGATGGTGATGGTGATGGTGATGATGATGATGATGATGATGATGATGATGATGATCATAATAATAATAATAATATTTTATTCACTACCAGTACATGTACAAGATATACAGACCATAGCTGACATCAATGAAATACTACTATATAGAAAGCTGTTTGTTATACAGAGCATATCCAGAAAATTAGGTCAGTTATGTCCCAGGATGCGACCCACATCAGTCCACTAACACCCAGGTACCTATTGTACTGATGGATGAACATAAAAAACCTTTGTAACTTGTCATGATTGTGACCAGATCTACCAGGAGTTCATTACCTTTGTAACATGTTCAGCTATCATAACTTTGGAGTCCAGTCCCTGGACCTATTATGTACCTCTGTAATCTTTTGACTGATGATAAATTAGACACATGTGCAACTCTTGGGTATCTTTATTGAGGAAACGTTTCGCCACACAGTGGCTTCATCAGTCCATACGTAGGAGAAACTTGAAGAACAGGAGGAGAATGAGGTAATCAGTCCCTCAACCTTGAGTCGATGTGTTCAGTCCATCAATCTTGAATAAAGATACCCAAGAGTTGCACATGTGTCTAATTTATCAACATGTCGGTTCTCTGAACCATTCATCTACAAATCTATTGACTACCACCCACAGGATGGGTATGGGGTGACTACCGCCCACAGGCTGGGTAAGATAAGATAAGATAAGATTTCGTTCGGATTTTTAACCCCGGAGGGTTAGCCACCCAGGATAACCCAAGAAAGTCAGTGCGTCATCGAGGACTGTCTAACTTATTTCCATTGGGGTCCTTAATCTTGTCCCCCAGGATGCGACCCACACCAGTTGACTAACACCCAGGTACCTATTTGCTGCTAGGTGAACAGGACAACAGGTGTAAGGAAACGTGTCGGAATGTTTCTACCCGCCGGGAATCGAACCCAGGCCCTCCGTGTGTGAAGCGGGAGCTTTAGCCACCAGGCCACCGGGCCATGGGTAGGGTATGGGGTGACTACCGCCCACAGGATGGGTATGGGGTGACTACCGCCCACAGGATGGGTATGGGGTGACTACCGCCCACAGGATGGGTATGGGGTGACTACCGCCCACAGGATGGGTATGTGGTGACTACCGTCTACAGGATGGGTATGTGGTGACCACCGTCCACAGGATGGGTATGGGGTGACTACCGTCCACAGGATGGGTATGTGGTGCATAATAAAGATATTAAACTAACTAACAGAAAACCAGTGTAAGGAAACACGTCCAGTGTTCGTACCCTCGCCGGGAATCGAACCCCAATATAACTGGGTACTCTTTACATTTGTTCCTCTTCGTGGGGGAAAATTTGTTTCATTTACAATTTCCACAGTTCTTGGCAACATATTCTATATGACCCTTGTGGGTTTAGCGTTGAGTTATGACTATAATAATGGGCAGCATATTATTCTTGTCTTGGGAGGCAGGACAAAAGTGTAACTTTGGTGGCTCTTAACAACCCCAACAACAACTCTATTTTCATTTTTTAAATCTATTTAATACAGTAATGGGAAACCCGCTTTATTAATGTTTTATAATGGTGTGGTTTGTTAGTAATTAAGGTAACAGTGGTCTTGGAAACATTGTTTTAACGTTTAAGGGCTTAATAATGATATTTTTTTTCTTATTCGCTGAGATATATTGTCATATTTCTTGTAGCCAACTCATTCCATCTTTTAATCAGTATTTTATATAATTTCTTTTATGTGTCATGTTTATATAATTTCTTATCTGCCACATTTGATCTTTTATATTAATGTAATATTATTGATAAGGTAATAAAAGGACCACAATGGAAATAAGTCACTTTGACTTTTTTTGGTTATCCTGGTGGGTAATTTATATTATGTATGATAATTATACTTGTGTGTACCTGTACCTAAATCATCTTACTAAATTACTCGCCAGACTGTTTCATTTACTTTACAATTTTGATTCTGGGATTGAGTATAACTTGTGGTAAGCCAGAATATTTTGGTATATCTTGTTCATCCCTTGAAGGAAATTGCCTTGATGTTAGGCAGGAGCTCTTGATGCAAGGAACTGGACATCTCTCTCCCTCAAGTCCTAAGTAATTTAACACTTATGTTACTATGTATGATAATTTGTGTAACTGTATTTATGTGCACTTGTACCTAAATAATTTACTTAACCTAATTTTCCTTTTATTTTCCCTATGGGTTTAGCTCTTCCTGATAATAATAGCAATAAATTATTTTGTGCATATATGTAGATCTTAAATTATAAAATAAAGCAAACTTTTATTAGGTTAAATACATACCTGGAGAGAGTTCCGGGGGTCAACGCCCCCGCGGCCCGGTCTGTGATCAGGCCTCCTGGTGGATCAGAGCCTGATCAACCAGGCTGTTACTGCTGGCTGCATGCAAACCAATGTACGAGCCACAGCCCGGCTGGTCAGGAACTGACTTTAGGTGCTTGTCCAGTGCCAGCTTGAAGACTGCCAGGGGTCTGTTGGTAATCCCCCTTATGTATGCTGGGAGGCAGTTGAACAGTCTCGGGCCCCTGACACTTATTGTATGGTCTCTTAACGTGCTAGTGACACCCCTGCTTTTCATTGGGGGGATGTTGCATCGTCTGCCAAGTCGTTTGCTTTCGTAGTGAGTGATTTTCGTGTGCAAGTTCGGTACTAGTCCCTCTAGGATTTTCCAGGTGTATATAATCATGTATCTCTCCCTCCTGCGTTCCAGGGAATACAGGTTCAGGAACTTCAAGCGCTCCCAGTAATTGTCCATAATACGTATGCTCTCTTAATTATTGTAATTAAAAAGCAAATAAGTAAGTCATTAAGTTTATTTAGACACAGGTACGTATAAGCACAATTATCACACATAATGTAAATTACCTAGGATAACCCAAAAATCAGATGCAGTGTTTTAGGGTGATAATAAAGTTTTGAATTCTATATATCCAGTGTAGAATAAATTGTAATACTCTGGTAGAAAGAAAATCTGATTGATGAAATCCAAATTTTTGAACCAAAGTGTCTAAGTCTGAAACTCTCCTGGTCTGAACTTGTCACTGTATACTGTAATTTGTCTTTAAATGACCTAAATACTGCAGTAAGAAGTTAAGAATTAGTACGTTGCAACAAATTGTGTTGAATATTATCTATATTATGAGTACATTCAAAGTGCATGCCTTGGTACTTTTGAAGAACTTTTGATCCAAGCAGCTGGAGCTGCCTTTTCCTTCCTGGATTAAACCTAATTAACTCTATTCCCTAATAACAAATAATATGTAATAATATACAGTAGTACCCCGAGTTTTGAACAGCTCCCAAATCGACCAATTATGTAAGTGTATTATTGTAAGTGCTTTTGTAAGTGTATTATTGTAAGTGCTTTTGTAAGTGTATTTTTGGGGGTCTGAAGGGGACTTATCTAATTTACATTATTCCTCATGGGAACAAATTCATTCGGTAACGGCATTCAAACAGCATTCTGAAACGAAGAAAGTTCGAAACTTGGGGTACCACTGTACATGGCTTCCTCCACAAGCCATGTGCATTGTAAAAGGCAACTAAAATGATGGGAGCGAGGGGCTGGTAACCCCTTCTTCTGTGTAAATTACTAAATTAAAAAAGAAGAAAAACTTTCGTTTCTTCTTTTTTGGGGTCACCCTGTCTTGGTGGGAGACAGCCAATGTGTTTAAAAAATATATATACAGTGGTACTCCGAGTTTCGGCCATAATTCATTCGAGAAGGCTGTTCGAGTGCCATTACTGAACGAATTTGTTCCCCCAAATATACACTTGCAAAAGCACTTACAGTAATACACTTACATAATTGTTCGAGTTGGGAGCTGTAAAAAACTCAGGGTACCACTGTAATAGAATAATAATAATAATAATAATAATAATAATAATAATAATAATAATAATAAAAGGAAAAAATGCATTAAACTTTCAATATAAAAATCATAATGGGCAAAAATCCACTAGGTAAATTATATTTTTAAGTCCTTTATTTTCAGTGTTTATTATAATATAATTGTAAATTGTGTGCTCAGTTTACTTTGGTTTGTACAGTGGAGGACTAATTTTTATTTTGTTTTGCAACATTGTTCAGATTTAATGGACACTTGGACAGTCCCTATTAGTTTATTATATCGAATACAGAATCCACATTATTTGACAGTGAGTACAATCAATAGTTTGGCTATAAATTAATTTCTGAACTGACAGAAACTCTTCTTCAGGGTCATTATGGAAGCCTCATGAATGATGTCTGGAGAGGCGAGTGCTGAAGTGTCCGTACCAACAGATCTGACGGTGACCAGTGATGGCGAGAGTGAAGATGGACATGCTGCAAGCAGAAGGTACACTGGTTATAAATTTCTCTCGCTTATACAACAGGTTAGGTTCTGGGCTACTGCTGTAAAGTGAAAATCACTGTAAAGGGAAAATCACTGTAAAGTGAAACATGGCCTTTTTTTCACTTTCAAATACATATAAAAGCCTGATAACATTTTTGCATTATCATATATTAAGTGAGAAATAGAATTAGGCCTAAAAAAAATACATATGCAGTACACACACACTACTTACCTTAAAATATTTTTGTCCTTAGCTTATAGTGAGTGATGAATATATTTATTGTAGAAGTGTGAATAAATGAAAAATGGTATAATTGAAAACTGCTGTTGTAGCAAAATGCCATGATTGAAGGGCTGTAGAGTGGGGCCTGCCTGTACAACGAGTGTATGCTGACGTTGGTGAACGACTAGTTAACCAAGAACCTTGAGCTATCACCTCTTCTTTGAATAAAACTTGTTTGCCTAACACTGTTGATCCAAACAGTTGGACTTATCCTCCCCTTCCTTGGATTTAACCTGAATACCTCCCATTAAACAGGCACTGTATGTCTTATGGGTTTAGCACTTCCCAAGGTTAAGATAAGATTTGTTTGGAATTTTAACCCAGAGGGCCAGACTCATGGAACTCTATGTTCATCAAGAACTGCAAGAAGCCCCTATCACGAGCCTTTTCCATCCTATGGAGAGGGAGCATGGACACGGGGGTCGTCCCTCAGTTACTAAAAACAACAGACATAGCCCCACTCCACAAAGGGGGCAGTAAAGCAACAGCAAAGAACTACAGACCAATAGCACTAACATCCCATATCATAAAAATCTTTGAAAGGGTCCTAAGAAGCAAGATCACCACCCATCTAGAAACCCATCAGTTACACAACCCAGGGCAACATGGGTTTAGAACAGGTCGCTCCTGTCTGTCTCAACTACTGGATCACTACGACAAGGTCCTAAATGCACTAGAAGACAAAAAGAATGCAGATGTAATATATACAGACTTTGCAAAAGCCTTCGACAAGTGTGACCATGGCATAATAGCGCACAAAATGCGCACTAAAGGAATAACAGGAAAAGTCGGTCGATGGATCTATAATTTCCTCACTAACAGAACACAGAGAGTAGTCGTCAACAGAGTAAAGTCCGAGGCAGCTACGGTGAAAAGCTCTGTTCCACAAGGCACAGTACTAGCTCCCATCTTGTTCCTCATCCTCATATCCGACATAGACAAGGATGTCAGCCACAGCACCGTGTCTTCCTTTGCAGATGACACACGAATCTGCATGACAGTGTCTTCCATTGCAGACAGTGCAAGGCTCCAGGCGGACATCAACCAAATCTTTCAGTGGGCTGCAGAAAACAATATGAGGTTCAACGATGAGAAATTTCAATTACTCAGATATGGTAAACATGAGGAAATTAAATCTTCATCAGAGTACAAAACAAATTCTGGCCACAAAATAGAGCGAAACACCAACGTCAAAGACCTGGGAGTGATTATGTCGGAGGATCTCACCTTCAAGGACCATAACATTGTATCAATCGCATCTGCTAGAAAAATGACAGGATGGATAATGAGAACCTTCAAAACTAGGGAGGCCAAGCCCATGATGACACTCTTCAGGTCACTTGTTCTATCTAGGCTGGAATATTGCTGCACTCTAACAGCACCTTTCAAGGCAGGTGAAATTGCCGACCTAGAAAATGTACAGAGAACTTTCACGGCGCACATAACGGAGATAAAACACCTCAATTACTGGGAGCGCTTGAGGTTTCTAAACCTGTATTCCCTGGAACGCAGGAGGGAGAGATACATGATTATATACACCTGGAAAATCCTAGAGGGACTAGTACCGAACTTGCACACGAAAATCACTCACTACGAAAGCAAAAGACTTGGCAGACGATGCACCATCCCCCCAATGAAAAGCAGGGGTGTCACTAGCACGTTAAGAGACCATACAATAAGTGTCAGGGGCCCAAGACTGTTCAACTGCCTCCCAGCACACATAAGGGGGATTACCAACAGACCCCTGGCAGTCTTCAAGCTGGCACTGGACAAGCACCTGAAGTCAGTTCCTGATCAGCCGGGCTGTGGCTCGTACGTTGGTTTGCGTGCAGCCAGCAGCAACAGCCTGGTTGATCAGGCGCTGATCCACCAGGAGGCCTGGTCACAGACCGGGCTGCGGGGGCGTTGACCCCCGAAACTCTCTCCAGGTAAACTCTCCAGAGGGTTAGCCACCCAGGATAACCCAAGAAAGTCAGTGCATCATCGAGGACTGTCTGTCTGATTTCCATTGTGGGCCTTCAATCCTGTTTCCCAGGATGCCACTCATACCAGCCAACTAATGCCCAGATACCTACTTACTACTAGGTAAACAAGGATAGCAGGTGTAAGGAAACACACCCAATAATTCCACCCATGTCAGGAATTGAATCATGGACACTCAGTGTGTGAGGCAAGAGCAATGCCAACCAAGTCACAGGTCAAAATAAATAAAGAAAAAGATTGCTCCAAATGGCCCACACAGATTTAACTCTTGATGATATATATTATACTGTGTGATTTATGGTAGACAGCTGTACAAATTTGTGATACTGTAATAATAAATCAGTGGAACAGTGTACATGCCAAAGCTGTTTATCCATAAATTTTCAAGGGTTGGAGTGCCTTGGTGCCAGTGAAAGGTTCTTGATCTAAGGACTTGAAGATTTCAATCCCTTTATTAAAACAAACCTGATTACTGCCCATTTCCCATGTGTCGTATGATCCAGTGGGTTTAGTGCTTCTCCAAGAATGTGCTGTACAGCAATAATATGTTGAATATAAAAAAATGTTACAATTCAAAATTCACCAGAAACAGTACAGCCTCTCCTCACTTAACGACAGAGTTCCGCTCCTAAGGCCATGTCAGTAAATGAATTTGTCGCTAAGCAAGGAGCATACTGTAATGGTAGTGGGTTTATGTCAGCCATCTTTGATATTGTTTTAATGTCACCTTTGCACCATTTATAACATTTTAGTATATTTTTAAATGTTTTTACAGTAGTGTGCTGTATATTGTAATAAACAGAATAGAGGAAATCAACTCCAATATACATTATTTAAGTATGCATACTGGTCAGACAGCCCATTGTAAGTTCAAGTCGTCAGTAAATGAGTACATCACTAAGTGAGTATAGGCTGTAATCACTGTAGGCAAAATGATGGCAAATGTGCCCAAGTATTAGGCTTCCTGTCCATACTGTGGCTAATAGAAATGTTGGTCAACAGATAATTATGGGCAAATGAGAGTATGAAGACAAATTTTTATTGCTGTTAATTTTATAAGCACCACGTATGATTTTAGAATAGGTGGCATTTTCTTTCTGAGTACTTTGACAATATCCTCTTCTTTCTCTGCCTCTTTGTTAATTAATAGGTGCATAATTCCAGGTACACCCTCCAAGTATACCTGGAGGGTGTACTTGGAGGGTGTTCTGGGGTCAGTGACCCCCAACACCCTGGTCCATGACCAGGCCTGGAGGTGGTTTCTTTAACAAATTGGTTTAGCAAAAATTAATTAATATTTTTTGATTGCTAAATAAAAACCGTGCATAAAACTAAGTTAGTATGTGAAAGCTGAAGGTTAAATTGACAGACTTTTATTAAAGAAACATAAAACTGTATAGTAAGGCAGGAAAGCAAACTGAAATACTCTGACCATACTTGCTCAGTAATTCAAAGGATTTTATGCATAAAAATAATTATAAAAACAGTTAAGGTTCGTTACTTGAAATAAAATATAATTTGGCTTAATTTTTCCCATAACCTGCAGTTGTAGCAGTAGTTTCAATTAAAAGTGTGTTAATTTATGTATTTTACCTTAAAAATTACATCATGTGCTTACCGATTATCACTTATGACCACATAAGAGGTCATTAGTGATAGTGTTTTACACACGTTGAAAGAATTACTATATTAAAAATGTGTAAACTTAATCAGTTGCTTTTTTACAGACATGCTCGAGAGCTTCAGAATTTGGCCTCGGAGAGGGCAGAGCTTCAGCGCATTGTGCAGAAACAAAAGTTGGAACTACAAAGCAAAGATGCTCAACTGGCAGCCTTTGCTAGAGAGCATGAAGCAGCCATTGCTAAGGCTGTCTCTCAGAAGGATGACCAGATTAGCTCCAAGCAGATACAAGTCAACCGGTAGCACATATTTATTACAAGCCTACTTTTGAATCATAATTTTCAAAGAAAAAATGCACAAGTTTATACTGAGAACAAATGAGTACTGTAGTACGCACAAATAACCCGCACACAGGAGAATCAATGTCAGGTCAAAATGATGACATTTTGATCTAACATTAATTAGTCAATGATCCAAGTTGGACTGAAATGTTGTCACAAGTTTCATTCTCTTATGTGCGGGTTATTTGTGTATTGTTCTACTCACGGTATTATGCCTTTTTATTCTTTTTCTACTATAATGTAATTCATTTTTTAAACTAAAATATATTGGAGACTTAATTTTTCATTAAATTTTATGTACTGTTCAAGAAATAATTAAATTCAGTCAGCTATCTTATAAAACTCCTATACATAGTGTTTTCTTTTGTAAGTGTGATTGAAAAAGTGTATCCAAAATTCACTTAGCACATGGAAAGGTTTTCGAAATACTATTAATTCAACTTTGGATGTACTTTTACAACTGCACTTACAAAAAAAAAAATTGCACCATTTTATGCTCAGTCTTTCTAATAGGTTAAAACAGTTTAGAGAACTTTCTTTACTCTGCTTTCTTAAGTTTCTCTACAACTTTCCTGATGTTTTACAATACAACTACTTAGGCACGTGCCGATGTATTGTTATTGGTGGGTATTGTAATGTAGAACAACTTTCTTATTTATAGTAATCAATACAGGAGAAGGGGTTACTAGCCCAATGCTCCCAGCATTTTTGTCGGCTTCTATGACATTCATGGCTTATGGAGGAAAGATCTGAAATGGTCCTCATAACTATGAGCTTTCTGTATGCACAACTAAGTTTCACCCATCTCTACACAAACATTGTATCATGCTAAAATAAATTATTATTATTATGTATTATGTATTATTATTATCATTATTATTATTCTACTTTATAAGAGCTTACTGTATTTTTCTTTTAAGATTGGAAGGGGAATTATCCCTTACAAAAGAGAAGCTGAACACACTTCGAGAGCGAGCTGCACGAGAGTTGGCTCAGTTAACACAGAAGTGTGCAGTCTTCCAGCAGAACCAGAAAAGGTATTTTCATTACTCATTTTATTAGTAAATCCTCACTATAATATTCTTCTTTCTTTCAACGCACTGGCTATATCCCACCAAGGCAGGGTGGCCTAAAAAGAAAAAACAAAAGTTTCTCTCTTTAATTTTGGTAATGTATACAGGAGAAGGGGTTACTAGCCCCTTGCTCCTGGCATGTTAGTCACCTCCTATGACATGTATGGCTTACAGAGAAAGAATTCTGTTCCACTTCCCTATGGAGATAAGAGAAAATAAACAAGAACAAGAACTAGTAAGAAAATAGAAGAAAACCCAGAGGGCTGTGTGTACATATATGTATGCTTGTACATGTATGTGTAGGGTGACCTAAGTATAAGTAGAAGTATCAAGATGTACCTTAAATCTTGCATGTGTATGAGACAGAAAAAAGACACCCTCAATCCTGCCATCATGTAAAACAATTACAGGCTTCTCCTTTACACTCACTTGGCATTATAACAAGGGTCATACAGTTCCTTTCCAAGTAGAGTGTCTCTCTAACATATATTTCATACTTGTGTGTCTTCCATACAAGCCTCCACCTCATTATTCATTTTTGTTTCTTAAAATGCTGGCCGTTTCCCACCAAGGCAGGGTGATCTGAAAAAGAAACACTTTCACCATCATTCACACCATCATTGTCTTGCCAGAGGCACCCAGATATTATAGTTCAGATGTCACTCCAAACAGCAGATATCTCTAACTTCTCCTTTAGAGTGCAGGCACTGTACTTCCCAGTTCCAGTACATTACTAAACAATATTTAAAACTACAGTTTGTTTTTAATCATTGTTTCAGATTGGCCATAAGGCAGGATGAATTACGAAACTCTCTTGCAAATTTGAAGTTAACAGAAGAAGAATTTGTTCAGCTTCGCCGCACTCCTGTTCAACAGTTAACTCTTCAGCAATACACTGCAGTAAGTAGAGCTTACATAGGTGCTCAGGTTGAGTTTTGCCACCCAAACATTATAAAAGCCCACATTAATATTATGGAAAGCACAATTTGTTTATCCTCATCACCAATAATTATCAGTCTTCGACTACCTCCACTACTACTACTGCTACTGTTGCTGCTGCTTCCGCCACCACCGCTGCCTCTATCTCTACCACTACCTCTTTTCTTACTTTCCTACTAGCTCTCTGGTCCCATGCCTGTCTGCTGGCCTATATATTCTCCCTTCTCTCCTTTTTGTTAGTGTGACTTTGTGAATGGTCCAAGTCAGACCAAAATATCCTATTTGTGGGTTATTTGTGAATCAGTAAAATATTTGCATTAAGATGTCTGCACAATTCTGGCAAAGCAGGTATCGAATGAGTGATGGTGAAAGTGTTTCCGTCTTTGGGTAACCACCCTTTGGTCCGAAACAGCCAATGTGGCAAAAAAATAAAATCTACTCTGTACTATACTATTATTCTTTTTATTAACATATCGGCCTTTTCCGTCCTGCCAAGTGAGTGTAAAACAAAAGCCTGTAATTGTTTTACATGATGGTAGGATTGCTGGTGTCCTTTTTTCTGTCTCTTAAACATGCAAGATTTCAGGTACATCTTGCTACTTCTACTTACACTTAGGTCACACTACACATACATGTACAAGGATATATGTACACACCCCTCTGGGTTTTCTTCTATTTTCTTTCTAGTTCTTGTTCTTGTTTATTTCCTCTTATCTCCATGGGGAAGTGGAACAGAATTCTTCCTCCGTAAGCCATGCGTGTCGTAAGAGGCGACTAAAATGCCGGGAGCAAGGGACTAGTAACCCCTTCTCCTGTATATATTACTAAATTTGACAGGAGAAACTTTCGTTTTTCATTTTGGGCCACCCCACCTCGGTGGGATACGGCTGGTACGTTGAAAGAAGGAAAAGATCGGCCTTTTCCCACCAAGGCAGGGTGACCTGAAAAAGGAGAAACACTTTCATCATTCACTCCATCACTGTCTTGCCAGAGTCATGCCTACACTGTATTATGTGTGTTAGTAAATTGGAAAAACAATATAGTGTACAGGTACTTCTTGCTTAACCCTTAAACGGTCCAAAGAGATCGACGTTCAAATTCGTAGTGCTACAAAAGTAGATCTACTTTTTTTACATATTTTTAAATATAACAAAAAAAAATGTAGGTAAAAGTTTTTTTACACGTTTTCAAATGTAAAACAAAGAAGAAGATCTACATTTTTTTACATACTTTCAGATGTTGAAAAAACGTATATATACGTTTGGACCATTTAAGGGTTAAAGACCGAGTTCCGTTCCTAAGAGTAGGTCGGTAAACAAATTGGTCATTAAGCGAGGAGCCGCCCCTTTACTGATATTTCAAGCATATTGTACTGATAGTGGGTTTGTGTCAGCCATCTTTAGATATTTTTTAATGTCACCTTTGCACCATTTATAACATTTTCAGTATATTAAAAAATAGAACTAGGCATTAAAAACAATAAAAAAGTAAAATATACATACAATACACTGGTTGGAGAGCTGGTCCTAAGTCCGAGCAGTTGCTAAACAGGTGGGTCATTGAGGATTACCTGTATATACAGTATGGACATCTTTGCTCAGTTATTTTAATGTGAGTTTTCATGCCACAACTTTGGCTTTTAAATAGAATAACACCCTAATCTCACTTTCTTGACTTCATTTTTTATTCCAAATATGAGAAGATTCTCCTTAACATTTTTCCTGCAGTACTTTTACATTCCTTCTGAGAGAATCCTTACCAACCTCCCTTCCAAGTGGGAAGCAGGACATTGACGATGATAATACACTGAGGTATTTTTAAGGCAACATTTATGAAGGAATTTGGGGAAACCAGTTAGCTGGACATGAGATTGGTAAGTTGCAGGTTCAGTGCCGGTACTGAAGATTGGGTGGGAATGTTGCATTTTGAAGGATCATTTGTATTGTTATGTTCATGCACTCCTGGGAAGACAGTTATTGAATGAGTGATGGTGAATGTGTTTCCTTCTTAAGATCACCCTGCTTTAGTGGGAAACAGTTATTAAAGCTAGGGTATTATTATTATTGTTTTTCTTAACAATGCACCCATCTCCCTCTCAGGAAGGGTGACCCAACATAAAAGAAAATATTTTTACTGTCACTCATTTAATCACTGTCTTGCCAGAAGCAAGATGTGAATAATATAACCATCATATATCTTTTTCAGCTGCGAGTGTACGAGCTGGTGTGGCCTTTGAGAGTCAAACTCACTGAAGCTGAGGCTCTAAAGTCATCTTTGGAAAGTACACTCTTGGCAAAAGAGTCTAATTTAAAATTACATAGTGAGCAATGCCTCAAGTTGCAAAAAACTGTAGAGGAGCTACAGAGAAAATCCGAGCAATATGCTAGTCAACTGATGACCCTCAAAGATGAGCAGAGATCTGATGATTATAAGGTTCGGAATTATCCAAGAGTTAAAACTGAGAGAGATCGTCTGGAAGAGGAAAAGAATGTGCTTACAAAAAGGGCACATGAACTGGAATTAGTGGTTGCAACTTTGAAAAAGGATCACAGTGTTCTAGAAGAAAAGTATGGTGAACTTAAGGGCAAAGAAAGAAAACAGGAATATGATTTAAATCAGCATAGAGATGATGTGGTAAATCTGAGGACCAAATTGGATAAAATTACAGAAGATTTAAGCTCTTCAAACAAACAGTTGCAGCTTGAAAGAGAGAGAAATGAAGACTTGCATGAGAAATATATAGCCACTCGGGGAAGTGTCACCACCTTAACAGTGAGCTCTGAGGAATATCAACATAACATTAAGCTGCTTAGAGAGAAGCTTCAGTCATGTACTTCACAGTGTTCTAGTCTACAGGAGAAGATCACTCTATTGTCTGAAAAGAATGATGCATTATGCACTGAAGTTCAGAGGTCAAAAATAAAATATAATGCAGAAACACAAGCTCTTGACACTGAAATTCAAGAATTAAAAGCAAGTCTGGCATCACTGTCAAAAAATAGAGATAATTTGCTTGATGAAAACTCCAAACTTCATCGAGAAATTCAAGTTCTGGAAACCTCTTACCAAGAAGTTAAAAGTGCAAGGGAAAAGGAAACATCAGCCTTAAACCAAGAGCTGCAAAAAGTCAAGAATATTTTGACTGGGTATGAGGGATTAGAAATAGAATATGAAAAAAATATAAAAACTGCTGCAGCACTACCTGAAGCTGAGGCAAATAAAGCATTAGACAAAATGCTTCCCAGTTTAAAGTTAACTGGGAACAAAGCTCTAGAACAAAGTATTCAGCTTACTAGAAGGGTGCTCTTCTTGGAGCGGCAAAATACAGAAGCTTGCACTACTGTTAGGAAGCTGTCCGATGCTTTAGAACACCTCAAGAACACTGTTGCTTCTTACAAGACTGCCATAACATTGGCTGGACAGCCCTCTGCAAGTCTTCTCGAGCGTATCGCATCCCAGGATGATCAGATAACAACATTGCAGTCTGCACTTCAACATAATTCTGTGATAAAGAGCACATTAGAAGAGGAAAATAAAACACTAACAAGAGATGTGATTAAACTTAAACATGAGCTGGACAGCATGATAGAAAAAACAAGTGAAATAAGTGCAATAAAACAGCAACTTCAGTGTGTGTTACAAGCTCTGCCGCAAGTGTCACTCAGCCAACCTCAAACATACTTTAAAGGTAGCCATGATATGTCACACCTTGCTCCTAGGCAATCAGGAGATAACACTGGTAGATCTAATGAAGAAACAGATCCACACTCAACCAGAGCCATTATTATTACAGAAGATATTAGAAAAGGTAGATTTTAGTCCTTTTATAATTAAGGTATAAATAACAAAATAAGGTATATTTTAGAAGTGTTGTTACAGTAATGGTAAATTTTAGTCCTCTTCCTACAATAGGTAGATTTTAATCCTCTTCCTACAATAGGTAGATTTTAGTCCTCTTCCTACAACAGGCAGATTTTAGTGTCTTCCTACAATTGCTGACTTGGACTGATTTTGTCCCAGGGTGACACAATTATGGAAATCTCCAAATAATGGAAATTGTTAAATTCTCGTGTGAAAAGGAAAAAAATCTAGATCGTAAAGTAAGTCCAGATTTAAAACAGATGCTCTTATTCATAAAATCTAGAATTTTGTTGACTTTAATATTCTGAACTGAAGTTTTTGGAAGCTAGTCTCCTATTTGGCAAGTTTTGAATGTGGAAAAAGCTTAGAATTTCAAGTTTAATATTTTTGCTTTTGATAGGAAACTTTGAAATTTTTCGAAGTACAGAACAGTATTCAAATTTAAGATTTCAGAAAACATTCTCTCTTACAGTATGGTATTAAGAAAATTTTGAGTTGAAAGGAAGACTTTTTCCAAAATTTAAGAATTTTTAGATATAGGGGATTTGGAAGCACAAAATGAATTATATTTTCCAAAATTTAGAGAATTTCAATTCTTTTTTTTTTGACTGACGAGTTTAAAATGTATTACAATACTGTACTGTTATGCACTATTCAGAGTTTAGATATCATGGTGTATTTATTAAAAAATGTCTTTGACTTTGGAGACAAAGCTGTAGCATTATCCTGGACCATTACAGTGTCACTTGATAATGTTCCAGGATGAACCAAAATATTGTCTGAATTTACTGTTCCAAAGTGTGGGATATTTGTGAATTGTTTTATCAATGGTATTGTAACTTATTCTGTGTCATGTTAAATTTTTAATAATGCAAGTCCTTGTAGCTAGCATATAAATACCACCAGTGATTAATTATTATTTATTTATTTAATGACAATATAATACATATAGTATTTTAATTCTTCTTAACCCGTAAACGGTCCAAGCAGATATATGTTCACATGTGTAGTGCTACAAAAGTAGATCTACGTTTTTTTACACATTTTCAAATACAGTGGACCCCCGCCTAACGATCAGCTCCCAATGCGACCAATTATGTAAGTGTATTTATGTAAGTGCGTTTGTACGTGTATGTTTGGGGGTCTGAAATGGACTAATCTACTTCACAATATTCCTTATGGGAACAAATTCGGTCAGTACTGGCACCTGAGCTTATTGCTTGGGTAGCATTTGTTCTGCTAGTGGGTTGGATTTGTGAAGGACCTGCCTAGTATGGGCCAGCAGGCCTGTTGAAGTGTTCCTACTTTCTTAAGTTCTTATGTAACATCACACTTACCAGTAGGGTGATCGAGGCTAGGACCTTGGGTAGCTTTCAGAAGAGATTGGACAAATATACGAGTGGGAGGAGCTGAGTTTGATTTGTGTCATTGGGTATGGGAGTTGGAAATAAATGGTATAAAATACTGACACAACGGAAATATAAACACATATGCAGTATAATGTGATCCTTTATTGACTACGTTTCGCCCACACAATGGGCTTTTTCAAGTCACAAACAGATCTACCTGGGGTGGAAGGGACGCGAGTATATTTATAGTCAGGTTCAGAATGCTGAGGTCAGGTGGAGAATGCTGCATCTGATGATGTACCGAGTGGGGTTATAGAGGCTAAAATCTTGGGTAGCTTGGAAATGAGATTGGATAAGTTTGTGAGCAGACCTTCTTCAGTGTTCTTCCATTCCTGTGTTCTTATGTGGGATAGCGATGAAGAAGTTTCTTGGCAAGTGGTTCAGCTATGTTATAGAAGCCACTATTCTGGTTGAAGTTGTCGGATATAGAAATAAGTGATGATTCCAGGATTCTTCGGTATGGGAGTTATTTCTTGGGTAGCTTTAGGTAGAGGTTGTTTTGATAAGGACCTGCCTCGCATGGGCCAGTAGGCTTTCTGCAGTGTTCCTCCATTCTTATGTTCTTATAAACAATGGCACACTGGCTGGGAAAGGAGTGTGAGGGGGGCTCGGGGCTGTGTGTACCTGTCCCGGACGAACTACTACATATTTACGAGTCAATGTACGATTAGCGAGCCCATGTTTATGCAAAAATATCCCTATGATTTCCGAAATCTACGATTCTCGAAAACTATGGTTATCGAGGGACCACTGTATAACACAAAAAAAAAGATCAAAGTTTTTTTACACATTTTCAAATGTAAAACAAAAACAAAAAGAAGATATACTTTTTTTACATACTTTCAAATGTTGAAAAAACGTATATATACGTTTGGACCATTTACAGGTTAAAGTTGACATTGTTAGTCCACATTGTTAGGCATTGTTGCTAAGACAATTTTTTTATAACATTTGAAAGGTTCTTCAGTGACATGCAGAACATTTACATTCAGTTTAATAACTCAGAAACAATAGTAATATTTAAATTCCAATGAACTATCAAGGCCTAAGGTTAAGTTTCAGTGTTATTATTTATTATCTAAAGGTCGTCCTCGAAAGGGTTGGAGAGAGGGGGTAAAGGAGGTTTTGTGGGCAAGGGGCTTGGACTTCCAGCAAGCGTGTGTGAGCGTGTTAGATAGGAGTGAATGGAGACGAATGGTACTTGGGACCTGACGATCTGTTGGAGTGTGAGCAGGGTAATATTTAGTGAAGGGATTCAGGGAAACCGGTTATTTTCATATAGACGGACTTGAGTCCTGGAAATGGGAAGTACAATGCCTGCACTTTAAAGGAGGGGTTTGGGATATTGGCAGTTTGGAGGGATATGTTGTGTATCTTTATACGTATATGCTTCTAAACTGTTGTATTCTGAGCACCTCTGCAAAAACAGTGATAATGTGTGAGTGTGGTGAAAGTGTTGAATGATGATGAAGGTATTTTCTTTTTGGGGATTTTCTTTCTTTTTTTTTGGGTCACCCTGCCTCGGTGGGAGACGGCCGACTTGTTGAAAAAAAAAAAAAATTATACAAGGACTAGTAGGGCAAAAGTAATGGAAGAAGAGAGTGGCTCAAGCAAGAGAGACATAGCTGAACAAAGCAGAATATACAGGTAAACTAAATATAATTTTTCAAAATAATGAGCTTAATAAAAAATAAATATACAAAATCTGGAGATTTAAAACCCATTAGTAATATGAGAAGACTGTTAAAATAATAAGTATAAATTTTTGACCAAGACAAGGTGGACATGTTATACTGTATATACAGTACTGTACTTCAAGGATTCTATAGTGCTGATGAAGGACTCCTTATCCATGGATTTAGATCTTCTTCTCTCCTTCCTCAGATCAGATTTGACTGCCTGTCATTCATCAGGCACTGATGATCCCCTACAAATTTAATGCTTCTCCTTGGTGGCCTGGGGTTAAAGCTCTCGCTTCACATGGCGAGGGCCTGGGTTTGATTCCCAACCAGAGTAGAAACATTGGGCGTGTTTCTTTCCACCTGTTGCCTATGTTCCCCATCAGTAAAATGGGTGCCTAGGTGTTAGTCGACTGGTGTGGGTCGCATCCTGGGACACTGACCTAATTTGCCTGAAATGCTCAGCATAACAAGAGGGCTTTCTATATACAGTGGACCCCCGCTTAACGATCACCTCCCAATGTGACCAATTATGTAAGTGTATTTATGTAAGTGCATTTGTACATGTATGTTTGGGGGTCTGAAATGGACTAGTCTACTTCACAATATTCCTTATGGGAACAAATTCGGTCAGTACTGGCACCTGAACATACTTCTGGAATGAAAAAATATCGTTAACCGGGGGTCCACTGTAGTAGTATGTCATTGATGTGATCTAGGCCTGTACACCATGTACATGTACTTGTAGTAAATAAAGATATTATTATTATTATTATTACTTTTCAATATTAGGACAGCACTGTATGACCCTGGTGGGTTTAGTGCTTAGTTTTGATTATAATGAAAATAATAATCAACATTAGGAAATAACTGTTGTACTTTAATTAGGTTTTTTTATTGTGATGCACTATACTGCAAATATACCATTTAACCCTCTTGAATATTTCCAACAGGACTGAAGTTTCTTAAAAAATATCAGTTTGCCCAGGATATAACTTTCAGCAGGACTGAAGTTTCTAACACATTTACATGGCAGTTCTTCCCAGGATGCAATCTACTAGAATTGGCAAACAGGTAACTGTTTACTTAATTTAGATCTAGAAAGTATGTATATAGGAAAGCACTCTGGTGGGAGAGTCATCTGTTAAAACTTACTTTTGTGGTCACAGTGGTGCTTGTGTTAACCTTCCTATGGTGTATAAATATACCTAGTTGCATGACTCTTATTATAGTCAGCTGGCCCAGTGGCTAACACGCTGGTCTGGAGCTTTACAATTCACTAGCCTCAAGTTCAGTCCTCACTTGTACTGTGGTTTGGTAATAGAGTTGTGGATGAATGAAACAAGATCCCGGGTAATGTCACTGAAGCTATAACGTTGTGTAGTTTTAAAGATATACGAGTGGGTGTGGGTGGGTGTGAGTTGGACCTTCCTAGCTTGGGCTGGTAGACTTCAGAAGTAGTGCTCCTTCCTTCTTGAGTGGGTGTGACTTGGACCTGCCTAGCATGGGCCAGTAGGCCTGCTGTAGTGCTCCTGTCTCTTATTTTAGTGGTAAGTGGGCAGGAACAGCAGGATACATACAAGGTAAACCTCACGTAGATGAGTAAGACGTCCAACAGTTTAGTATTTTATTAGCTAGATGTTTCACCGTCTCAGCAGTTGAAACACAGAGGAGACAACAGAAGTAGTGGAGATGTAGATATAAGGTGATCAGTCCCTCAGCCTTGAAATAAGTAGGTTTGAGGTAATGTTATTTACTGACAAGGAAAACCTTGCCGGGTTTTACTGTCTTCAAGAGGGAGCTGGATAGGCAGCTAAAGCCAGTATCTGACCAGCCGGGCTCCGGTTCGTACGTCGGGTTGCATGTGTCCAGCAGTAACAGCCTGGTTCAACAGGCCCTGATCCACCATGAAGCCCGGTCATGGACCAGGCTGCAGGGGTGTTGACCCCTGGAACACCCTCCAGCTATCAGTGTTCAAATCCAGGACATTTTGGTTGTGAATCGTGTGGTCTTGATATTAAGTAAGTTTATTTGGGCACAGGCACACATACCTGGAGTATACCTGGAGAGGGTTCCGGGGGTCGATGCCCCCACGGCCCAGTCTGAGACCAGGCCTCATGGTGGATCAGGGCCTGATCAACCAGGCTGTTACTGTTGGCTGCACACAAACTGACGTTCGATTACCATACATAGTGTAAATTACCCACCAGGATAACCCAAGAATATCAAACAATGACTTATTTCCATTGGAGTCCTTGAGCTGCTCAGCATCCATTCATATACATTCATATACATTCATATACACCTCAATTACTGGGAGCGCTTGAGGTTCCTAAACCTGTATTCCCTGGAATGCAGGTGGGAGAGATAAGATAAGATTTCGTTCGGATTTTTAACCCCGGAGGGTTAGCCACCCAGGATAACCCAAGAAAGTCAGTGCGTCATCGAGGACTGTCTAACTTATTTCCATTGGGGTCCTTAATCTTGTCCCCCAGGATGCGACCCACACCAGTCGACTAACACCCAGGTACCTATTTGCTGCTAGGTGAACAGGACAACAGGTGTAAGGAAACGTGTCGAAATGTTTCCACCCACCGGGAATCGAACCCGGGCCCTCCGTGTGTGAAGCGGGAGCTTTAGCCACCAGCCACCGGGCCACCATACATGGATATATACATGATTATATGACCCTGGAAAATCCTAGAGGGACTAGTACCGAACTTGCACACGAAAATCACTCACTACGAAAGCAAAAGACTTGGCATACGATGCAACATCCCCCCAATGAAAAGCAGGGGTGTCACTAGCACGTTAAGAGACCATACAATAAGTGTCAGGGGCCCGAGACTGTTCAACTGCCTCCCAGCATACATAAGGGGGATTACCAACAGACCCCTGGCAGTCTTCAAGCTGGCACTGGACAAGCACCTAAAGTCGGTTCCTGACCAGCCGGGCTGTGGCTCGTACGTTGGTTTGCGTGCAGCCAGCAGTAACAGCCTGGTTGATCAGGCTCTGATCCACCAGGAGGCCTGGTCACAGACTGGGCCGCGGGGCGTTGACCCCTGGAACTCTCTCCAGGTAAACTCCAGGTAATAGCTACAGATATGGTAAACCTGAGGAAATTAAAACTTCATCAGAGTATAAAACAAATTCCATCCACACAATAGAGTGAAAAACTAACGTCAAAGACCTGGGAGTGATCATGGTGGAGGGTCTCACCTTCAAGGACCATAACATTGTATCAATCACATCTGCTAGAAAAATGACAGGATGGATAATGATGCCAAGCCCATGATGACACTCTTCAGGTCACTTGTTCTATCTAGGCTGGAATATTGCTGCACACTAACAGCACCTTTCAAGGCAGGTGAAATTGCTGACCTAGAAAATGTACAGAGAACCTTCACGGCACGCATAACGGAGATAAAACACCTCAATTACTGGGAGCGCTTGAGGTTCCTGAACCTGTACTCCCTGGAATGCAGGCAGGAGAGATACATGATTATATACACCTGGAAAATCCTAGAGGGACTAGTACTGAACTTGCACATGAAACTCACTCTCTACGAAAGCAAAAGACTCGGCAGACGATGTAACATTCTTCCCCAATGAAAAGCAGGGGTGTCACTAGCATGTTAAGAGACAACACAATAAGTGTCAGGGGCCCAAGAGTGTTCAACTGCCTCCCAGCATACATAAGGGGGATTACCAATAGACCTCTGACAGTCTTCAAGCTGACAATGGACAAGCACCTAGTCGGTACCTGACCAGCCGGGCTGTGGCTCGTACGTTGGATTGCGTGTCGCCAGCAGTAACAGCCTGGTTGATCAGGCCCTGATCCACCATGAGGCCTGGTCACAGACCGGACCATGGGGGCGTTGACCCCCGGAACTCTCTCCAGGTAAACTCCAGGTAATATATGAAGATAAACATGAAATATGTAATTATATTTCACATTATAATTCTAAATTTATTAACCTAGATAGTATTTTAGGGCAAGTGGAGCTACCTTCCTCCTCCTCCTTGGATCACTAATATTACCTTCTTTTCCCAAGCACTGTGTGACCATATTGATTTAAGATAAGATAAGATTTCTTTCAGATTTTTAACCCCGGAGGGTTAGCCACCCAGGATAACCCAAGAAAGTTAGTGCGTCATCGAGGACTGTCTAACTTATTTCCATTGTGGTCCTTAATCTTGTCCCCCAGGAGGCGACCCACACCAGTTGACTAACACCCAGGTACCTATTTGCTGGTAGGTGAACAGGACAACAGGTGTAAGGAAACGTGTCAAAATGCTTCCACCCGCCGGGAATCGAACCCGGGCCCTCCGTGTGTGAAGCGGGAGCTTTAGCAACCAGGCCACCGGGCCACCTTTCTTAATGCAAGGAATTGAACCTGACGCCTGTGTTCAGCATGCCTTTATTAATAATAAGAATAGAGCAGACATTGTGCAAAGCAAACATTTATATGTTAATTTTTCTTTAAAAAGAGCTTTATCAAGTCAATTTAGGTGAAAGATTTGCAACCAGTTGGTTTGCGTGCAGCCAGCAGTAACAGCCTGGTTGATCAGGCTCTGATCCACCAGGAGGCCTGGTCACAGACCGGGCCGCGGGGGCGTTGACCCCCGGAACTCTCTCCAGGTAAACTCCAGACCTCTAGACAAGTTTACATTTGACAATACATACATTATTATTATTATAATCAAGGGGAAGCGCTAAACCCGGAGGATTATACAGCGCCTGGGGGGGGATGTGGAAGGCATTCAGGCTTAATTCGGGGAACTGGAGCACAGATCCAATTCCCTAAATCAAGAGCCCCTCACCAACATCAAGGAACCTTCCTTGAGGGGACAATACATACAAGTTATGTACACAATGGAATAAGCATTTCTTTTGGTCATTATTTTGGGAGGTATTAGCAAAAACAGTATAGTTATTTTGAGTCATGCAACTACCTGAACGAATGTAAACCAAGACACATTAAGACCGATGGCGGAGTAAGGTTAAGTTATTTTAGGTTACGTTTT